TTTTTTTTTTTTTTTTTTTTTTTTTTTTTTTTTTTTTTTTTATTGAACACTCAACACTCTTTGTGAAAATCGTAGAGGTCTTGGTAGTCGTTATCCGTAGAGGATTTCATTTACTTTCGTCATCAGTTAATTTAGCTGAGGGTGGTCTATTTTCAGTTTGCATTTATTCTTAGGATGTAGCCATTTCAGGGATCTGAGCTGAAAACTCGGGGTCTCTACTAGTGCCCTTCCCTTTCAGCAGGCCTTCTGGTTCATTTTGGCTCCCAGCACCTAACACCGCCCAGACTTCTGCTTTTCTGTGGTCAGCAAGTTCCTCAGGTGGGTCTCAGGGGGCTCAATGGCTGTGCTCCCTTTTCTCTAGGGAGAAACCACCCCTTAAGCCTTGGTTGTTTGGGGGGAATTCAACCCAGTGTTTTTGTCTCCCAGCTCAGTGCACCCGTTCAAAGCTCTGCGATATTGCTTTGTGTTTGTCATCCACGACCCAGTGATGATTCAGCAAATGCCAAAGGTCCAATGTAGGGGGATGTACGGCCAACTTCACTATGAGTTAACAGTGCAGAGCCCGCTTGGGGTTCTCTCTCTTTCCCTCTCTCTCTGCCCCTCCCCTGCTCGAATGCCCCTCTCTGTCTCTCTGTCTCTCAAAATAAATCAACTTAAAAGATGGGGCGCCTGGGGACTCAGTGAGTTGGGTGTCCGACTTCGGCTCAGGTCATGATCTCATGGTCTGTGGGTTTGAGCCCCACGTCGGGCCCTGTGCTGACAGCTTGGAGCCTGGAGCCTGCTTCAGATTCTGTGTCTCCATCTCTCTCTGCCCCTCCCCAATTCCCACTCTGCCTCTCTCTCAAAAATAAATAAACTTTAAACAAAATTTAAAAAGAAATGAAAAGATCTACGTCCTGATTTCAGTGGCTCAGATAGTTGTAATGATAGAATATTTCAGGGTTAGCTTGTCCCCTCTGTGAATTGTGAGGTGGGCTTTTCAGATTGGACGTAGTCTCCTTGGGCACTATAGCTACATGAATATGCACCTTGTCCTAACTTATGCTTATGCATTCTGTTCTGTGTGTGTGTGTGTATGTGTATTATTTTTTTTTTTTTGAAAATGTTCAGAGCCGTGGAACAGTTCAAAGTCATACAATGAACACTTCCATACTCTTCACATGGATTTGACTGTTTACATTATGCCAGAGTTGATTTTTCTCTTTCTCTTCCTTCCTAGACACACACACACACACACACACACACACACACGCACACTTTTTGAACCATTTGAAAGATGCACACACCATAATACTTCAGTCCTCAACACTTTAGCATGTTTTTCCTAAGAACCAGGACATTTTCTTCCGTAACCACAATACCACAATAATACACCCCCAAATTTAACATTGATACAATAATATTATCTAATGTTCCATCCCTATTCGTATTTTCCCAGTTGTCTTAATGTGCTTTATGGCTGTTGTTGGGTTTTTTCTTTTTAAATGATCAGGACCCTTTTCAGGATTACACTTGGCATTTAATTGTCTTAGTCCTTCAGTCTTCTTTAGAGCAGTCTCCGTATTTTTTTGTTTCTTTCATGACACTGATATTTTTGAAGTGGCCGGGCCGGTTACCTTGTAGAAGGTTCCATGCTGGATTTGTCTGATTGTCGCCTCGTGGTGTTTTGAGTCAAATATTTGTACCAGGAATGTAATGTTACACAGACGACGCTCTGTCTCTTTCGTTGCGTCTTATCAGGAGGTCCATGATGTCAGTTCTGTATCCTGATACAATGTCACTGCTGCCACTGAAACAGAAGAGACGAATGTTCTGGAATGAAATGTACTTAGGAGTTGGGGAATCCATTAAGACAAAGACTCGTTTCTCAAGGCTGCCGGGACTGACGCTGCAGGAGCTGGTCAATTTGTATTGCTTAAGCCACAGCTTGGCTCTTCTTACAGGTAGAGGGTGGCAGGTAGTATGAAAATGAAGGACATGCCCCTCCTCCCTAAGGCACCTCCTAGCACAAGAGAGACGCTATCATGTATGAAAGAATTGTCCAGTGTGATGGGAGAGAATATTTTTCAGTTTAGGACTAGGACCCAGATGTGAGCATGGCAAGAATAGTGACTCAGGGGGTTCGTAATTGGCACAGACCCCACTCTCCGTGTTTTTATTTTCACTGCTTCCCAGTATGTACTTACGATTCTAATTACGTCTGTTTCCTCCTTGCCTTCCACATTCACTGTAGTCATTCACATTTCTATTCCCTCCCTCATGTTGATTCACCGGAGCCCTACCCTGCACTGCCCCGCAGGACCTGTGGTAGCCTGCCTCCAAGATGGCTCCCTGTGAGCCTTCCTGCCTCCTGGTGTTCTCACCTGTACCCTGCCTCAGTGTGCCAGAGCCGGTCTGTGTGACCAATGACATATGGCAGAAGTGGTGTGTCACTTCCAAGATTAGATTATAAAAGGCTGGGGCTTCTGTCTTGGGCTGGTCTTCAATCTCTCTCTTTCTCCCTCCCT